TGAGTTATCAAATTGATATCACTCGCGTTTTACTGCTACATCTGGTCTAAAATTTAGTGCTGCCATCTTGTGTTGACATTTTGAAACTGCATAGGCCTATTTTGTAAATTATGCTTGGCGGGCCATATATAATATAGACTATTAAGACAGCTGCGGGCCGCTTAACATTCATCCACGGGCCGTAGTTTGGACACCCCTGACTAACACTCTTCCCCTCTATACTGAACTGCAGCACCCACATCTCAACATCCAATCAACAACCGATGAACTAAACCAAGTCCCTGCTCCACATTTGAACTTTTTTGATAAACCGTTGTATTTGGATGTACGTAACAACAAGGAAAAAAGATCTGCCACTTCTGTTTCATTGCAACTTTAAAAGTACAGTATAATTCTGGGTTCTCTATTGCCATCTCTGTGAGAAACATAAAACTGCAACATTTTTATGTCACTTGTGCTTCAGCGCAGATTTTCTGTGGATAAATCTAATATTTTTTAGACATACCCAATAATTCATTTCAAGTGAAAAATGTACAAGAAATCCTTTGTAAATATACTCTCAAAAACAGATATTTTTTATTCAAACCAATTACACTGCTGCTTTCTGGAAAAGTGACACCATTTTTAAAACAACTACGCTGCTGGCTACTGAAAAAAAAAAGTAGTTTAGTGAGTTGGTGCATCTGAAATCACTGGTGCCCTATTCCTATTCTGTAATAATATTAGTCAAAGGTAAGGGTGATTTTAACTCCCAAACAAACCTTGGTATATGTGGATTTGCATAACCATAATCCTCCACATGTTTCAACATTCACCAAGTAGGTCAACTAGGTTCTGTTGAAAAGCAATCAGATTAATGCACCATCACATGCTCTGCATCAGGACTACGGATTCTGATTAAGGAAATTTCACATTGCTCTTCTGGGCAAGAACCACCATTGCTATTGATATTCCAGGCAGCGTCTCCTTCCTTCTGTTACATAGCCGATATACCCTAGACCTCTCAGTTTAAATTACAGCCCAATAATATCTCACTGCAGTGGGGGCTGTGGCAGACAGAACGGAGTGTATTCTGTCTCACTGATCTTATGCATAGCTGAGTCATAGGCTCCATGCTTAAATACATTGCCACGGGAAGTCACGGCTGGATGTGTCGTTAACCAGGTGGTGCAGAGTACATTTGTCTTACTTTAAGGATGTAGAGATAATTTTAGTGTAAAACAAAACTAACAATTCAAAAAATGTATGTGCTCTCTAAAGCAATCTGGTTATTTCAACTGGTGGAGCAGGATATTGTAGATAGTCTCCAGGTCTTCACATCTCCAAGAAGACACAGACTTTCATTGCAAGAAGTCGTACTGTAAGTTCTCACCTTTTTTTTTTTACCAAACCCCTTATTAAATCTAAACTGAACTGTGGCATTTTCTCTTTTAAGATCAATAATTCATAGACCTTAGGTCTAGATCCTCTAAATGTTTTGAAGTAATTACTGGCCTTGGTCTCTACAGAGAAATTCTCTGCCCTTTAATATTTCAGTGCCCATTCATATTTCATGCATCATTTCATGCAGCAGTACTGTAAGTTCTCACCTTTTTTTTTTACCAAACCCCTTATTAAATCTAAACTGAACTGTGGCATTTTCTCTTTCAAGATCAATAATTCATAGACCTTAGGTCTAGATCCTCTAAATGTTTTGAAGTAATTACTGGCCTTGGTCTCTACAGAGAAATTCTCTGCCCTTTAATATTTCAGTGCCCATTCATATTTCATGCATCATTTCATGCAGCAGTGGCCCTGCTGGTGTCTCTGCGTACATTTGGGTAAACTAAACAGGTGAAAGAGTAAGTTGGCACGCCAAAGACAAAGATCAAAGATCTGTCTTCAAACAGAAATTCTCTAAATATTTAAACTATAGTCAAATTTTTAATTAAAAAGTCTTTAATCGCCCTTGAATGTTAAATAGTACTGTCAGATATATTTAATACAGTAAAACACAAACTATTATGTAACTACTATCAAGCAATTATGTCAAGTTTGCTTCATTGACTCCCTACATACAGTACCTTGCCTGAATAGCTTGCTGGAACATTTCGTAACGGTTTAATAACTTTGAAATTAACGTAAAATGCAGTTCCAACCCATCTTACCTATAAATATAATGTATTTGAATGGTATTCGAGAAATAATGCAGGAAAAGGCTTGAATTTATCCATCTGGAATGGACTGGATTGTGAAAAGTTGCTGTTACATACCAGAATAGTGTCAGGTGCACGGTGCGAAAAGTAAAAAAGATTCCTCACATCATCCAAAACAACCTGTGAGCAAAAAGAGGAGGCAGAAATGAAGTGTTAGAAGTGCCACTAAGATGAATGTGAATTCTAATGGGTAGCTTTCTCCGTACGTCATCTGGAAAGAAGCATCATTTCAGAAACAGCAAAAACAAACTTTTTTTTTTTTAAATTTTGGAATAACTATGTAAAGATGAATTGCACACATTAAGCTCAGGAATGTGCATTAATAAAGTAAATAGGATCAATTTGTGAGTTCATGTTGACTTTAGTTAGAATGCTTTGGTTTTAACAGAGAGTTCATTTAATTGGTGATTTTATTTACATAAGATCACAACAGTTAAAAATAATCACTGCTGTGGTTTGGAGCAGATGGGGTGTTAGTCAATCTTGTGGTTCTCAACTGATTGTTAGGATCCAAAAATGCAGGTCGGCAAGGAAAGCAGGGAAAACAATGATAAATACAAACATATAATTAGCAAATAACAATGTAGTCTTTAGGTCTGCAAACCAACTGGAATTTTAATCAAATTATTTATTACATGCTGACAAATTATTTGCAAATTTGCTAAGAAAATTCTAGTGCTGTCAAACGATTAATCGTGATTAATTGCATCCAAAATAAAAGTTTTTGTATATACACACACATGCATGTACATATTTAAGAAAAATGTTATATTTGTATATTGAATATATTTATATATAATATAAATTATATAAATATACACATGTAAATACATGTAAATATTTTCAAAACATATACTGTATTTGTGTGTATTTATATGTACATAAATATACACAGCACACACACATATATTACATAAACAAAAACGTTTATTTTGGGTGCGATTAATCGCGATTAATGTTTGACAGCACTAGAAAATTCCTCAAATGAGGATAACTGACAGACATTATTGTAGTAGACCAGGCTGGCCTACAGTCCACATCAATGTGTTAAAGTTGTTTAAGTAAAAAGATAATACGAATATAAATATTCATATTGAATAGTTAGGATTACAAAACAATAAGATTTACCGTTTTTAAAACCGTTTTTTTTTTTTATTCCCATTAACTGTTGTTTTCAACGTCCAATCATTTTGGCGCCTGGAAGAAGCTAACGTTAGCCAGATTAAGCTATTACAAATTAGCATAGCACCAATACATTTCTAAGTTTGGAAAACGACATGTTTGTACAGTAAACAATTTGGTATCCCCCACTTGATATCTAATGTAAACCATTACTGCTGCTGAACTTCATTGGCTGTCAACAGCAGCGCGTGTCCTTCTGGCTCTGACGCCGTGCGCGCGTGCTGCTGTAAACCCGCTGTCAAACAGCGCGGACAAGAGCGATTGAGATCCACACAGATCCGAGCAGCTGCAGCTCCCTGTCACATAAGATGTGCCGGAGAACCGAAGCGTTATACGGAAGATCATTCCGCCCGGCTGTATGAGAGCAGAACCGCCGCCAAACGCGTAGAGGATTTGTGCCTGTTTCTGCGCGCGCTGCGCATGTGGGGATGTTGCGATGGCATGCACGAGGAGAACCAAAACTTTGGTGTCCACGTGCGTGATTTTAAGCGGTATGACCAATGTTTTGTGTCTGCTCTACGTCGGATGGATCACCAATTATGTGTCTAATAACGGAAACGTCAAAGTTACAGGAAGGACGCACGAGAAAAAGTTTGAGGATGACAGCAGAGGAGAAACGCTGAGGATTATAGAGAGACTTGACAGGCTGGAGAGTGTTGTGAACCAGCACATCCAAGGTAACGATGTTTTGACAGGACAACATGATTTATATTAACTGCATGTTCTCTTTTTACAGTTGCTGTATATCACAGTCCCACTTGCAGCAGATATGAAGATCAATACTGGTTTAAATGGGCTTTGCACTTCAGATGCTGATGTTAATGAGCCTCTTTTATGGCTCTGTTTTTTATATAACTTAGATACATAGAGATGAATTGGAGACCGATCATAATGTTATAGCACCTCTATCTGGACTGTAGCTCCCAGCAGATTTCTGTATTCAGCTGGTGCAGTGTAAACTCAGGTTTATTGCTGATAGAGTGGGGGCATAAATTTAGCACTTGGCAAAGTCCTTGCGTAAACATCAGTCCCCGGGCTGGTGCCATCATGTTGCTTTGCTGGACTCAGACAGGACAGCTGGGAGTGATGATAACCTGCAAGAGTTTGAACAGCTTCTCATCCTGGATGATTAATCATCATTAGTGTACAGTTGATGTTGATCTACTTCGGCTGTGTTAAAAAATATGGCCTTGGAATGAAATGAGGGGGTGCTGTCTTCAAAATAACCCCCCATTTATGCCCTAACAGGCTTTGCTTGAGGAATTGTATTTCTGTAAAGTATTAATGCATGCGTTAATCTTGTTGAGAAGCATTTGGCTGGATTTATGGGATATGTTGGCCTGTACCATAAGTATAGCTCCTGTGCTGAGCTCAAGGTCTTAAAGCTTGCTTCTCGCTCAGTGCAGTCGTAGTGAAGCCATAAATGTCAATTAAAATATACCCAGTACACCTACACACTGAGGCACTTAAGTGATTGAGTGTATCATGCTACATTATATACTGTTTAAAAAAAAGATACCACATAATGATGCCTTCCTGACTTGTCTTCAAATATTTTATTTCGGTTGAAATGTCTTTTTTTTTTTTTTTTAATGGTCTGACAACAGCAGCTTTGGCTCAGCCAATAGCATGAGTTTGGGGTAGGACTATTTATTTTGTCCAACCAATGGAAGAGGGAGGGAATGTTCAGAGAAACCTGTTTGAAAACAGCTATTGTTTTTGCATTTCTGTTTGAAGACTCATCATTTTATTGTCCAACATAATATTCAAAAACAAGTATTGCGTTTCTGAGAGAAAATTATGAGGAATTTGTTTAGAGATTTTTTTTTTATTAACAGAAACTGAGAGTATTGATATTTTAAATGAACCACCATTCATTTTGTGATTCCAATAAAAAATGTTAAGAGGAAAAAAGAAATATGATTTAAGTTTAAATATTTTTTTAATGTGCTTTTTTAGCATTTTATTTAGATTTGAGTCAAATTATATTAGATTATTTTACTGCTCTAGTTTCACAAACTGGGGTTTGTGTGTTGAAGAAAAGCTATTAATTAATTAAAGGAGACATATTATGCCCCTTTTTACAATATGTAATACAAGTCTCTGGTGTCCCCAGAATGTGTCTGTGAAGTTTCAGCTCAAAATACTCTACAGATCATTCATTTTGAAAATGCCTATTTTGAGTGGAACTAAGTTCTCATTCACACACAAGTTTACGTTGAAGACACACGAGTTACAAAAAAAGTCGGTTATGTCTGTGAAGGTAAACTGCTGGGAAATAAATCGCATGTTTATTTTAGATCTGTGTGGCAGCAGCAATATACAGTAAATAAATCAGTAAATCAACCGCTCTCGTCTCCTCTGAGGCTGGGACTCTAAATAGTGTTCTGTGCTCGTCTGTGCAGCCAAAGACAGAACAGTTAGCATGTTTTGCTCAAACTTTCACCATGGCATTAGAACTGGTACACCGTTGTCACTTGTGAAATCAAAATGACGGCGCCATGGGTGGTAAGGGGCAGTAATATTATAATGAGATCCCTTTGCCACGTCACCAAGGGAGCGAAATCAGACACGCTCGTTTTTTCAGACGCTTGCAGAAAAAAGCTTCCCAAAACAAAGTTACTGGGTTAATCTTTTTCACGTTTCCTTGGTTGGTAGATGCACCGGGGACCTGATTATAGCGCTTTAAAAAATTTAAATCTGGAAAAGTCAGATTTTCATGTCATTGTCACCTTTAAATAAAAAATGTTAAATTAAAATACATAAATGATCTTATAATAAAAACAGTCAAAACAAAACACTTAAAGATAGAGTATTTTATTTGCCTATTTGCATGTCATGGAACCATTTGCAATTAACTTAAATCTCAAGTAAATATTTTAGGTCAAAGAGGTTCGTCTGACCAAAAAGTTTGGAAATGCCTTTGGGAAGTGAAACTACACATTTAATATATGTATTCAAAACCCCAATTCACATCTAAACTGCTCCTCTGTACTTCCAGAGCGTAAGTCAAAGATATAAGTCTCAGTAAAATAAATAATCAAGGTGCATCAGATTTGCTTGCAGTCTCCTCCAGTTTTACGATAACTGAGTCAGTGGCTGCTGTCGGAGAGTCTCATTTCTCCAAAATCCATTAAAAGCGAAGAGTCCGGTTTTCACGCCCATCTGAACTCTCTGATTGCATTGTCATTGGCAGAGACTGAGACTGGACCTCCAGGTTTGCGTTGGCACAAGCAACAGTGTTGATGTGCTGTCTTACAGAGAGAAAGAAATGAAGCTAATTCTTCTCTTGTAACCCAGTTTCAATTAGCAAATGTGAACTTTGGTTAGTGGAAGGTCACCGTGGAAATGCCACGTTTATTGTGCTTTGCTTGTGACGGCCAGAGATACCAGTTCACGCCCATCTGAACTCTGATTGCATTGTCATTGGCAGAGACTGAGACTGGACCTCCAGGTTTGTGTTGGCACAAGCAACAGTGTTGATGTGCTGTCTTACAGAGAGAAAAATGAAGCTAATTCTTCTCTTGTAACCCAGTTTCAATTAGCAAATGTGAACTTTGGTTAGTGGAAGGTCACCGTGGAAATGCCACGTTTATTGTGCTTTGCTTGTGACGGCCAGAGATACCAGTTCTGGTGTTGTGCTTTAGAAATACGGAGTGTAAGATGCTGGAGATTTAGGGAGAAAGCAAGAAAAACAAGTATATATTAGTATATGATATAAAATTAGGTTTGAAATTAAGTTAGGAGATGTTTCCTTCTTTAAAGGGATAGTTCACCCAAAATGAAAATTATGGCATCTCACCCTCATGTCATTTCAGACCCTTATAAGTTATTGTCTTCCACAGAAAAAAACTAAACAAAAACAATGTCAGCTCTTTTCTTCCCTATTGTGAAATATATCCCACTGAAACAGCTCATCGAACAAGAACAAATGTACTTGGACTTGATTTTGTCCATCAGGAATTGTTTGGAATGTTGCATATGAATTCGAAACAAATAATGATGTGCACAAATAAATCATTAATTATAATCCATGCAATATTACATAAATAAGAATTGTCTGTTTTGATTTCATGGTAACTTCAATAAGGCACCCAAGAGTGTCAGCTAAAAAGTACACTGTAGCTTGCTTACCATTTAAAAAAATTCTCTGAAGACTAAACAACTCAATATTTGAGGTTTTGCCATTGCATTCCTGTGGCATCCAGCACTTTATACTCCAGGCCAGTAGATGGTGGAAATGTGCCCTAATTCTTCTGCATTTCAGTAACGGTTGACAGTGTAAAATGTGCCTATTGGACTTCCATTGTATTGGAATCACCCAAATGGATATTAATTAAATTGTCTCCTATAAGAGTAAATATTGACATTTCATTTTTGAGTACATTTTTTTTAATCCTAGCTTAATTTGCAGATATCTTTAAGTAAGCCAGTCAATATACACAAAATCTCCAGGCCTGATGACCAAAGTCTTAGGGATGGGTACTGAATTTGATACTTTTTAAGTACCGACCAAATTGTCATAATTATAATTATCGATCTCATTGAGTACCAAAATCGGTCATGTCGTTAATTACCAAAGTTCGATACCTAAGGGGTTAATCTCGTCAACGTCAGTGAGCAAACAAGCATGCAGCATGCTTGATGTGCCTAAATCATGAACTGGTGATTAGCCCTGGTGAGTCATCAAGGAAAAACACTAGTTTACGTGGGTATGCTAAACTTGCAATATGGTGGAATAAGTCCCGATTTATAAATAAAAGTGCCAATCGGCAATTAGTATAGTCATTGTGTCACTATAGCTGCCGTTAGAGGCTTCAGTTGCAACAGAAACAGTCAGTTTCCCGAATCGTGTGCTTGAAATTGCATATGTACATGGGCTCAACCAACCTGAAATGCTTTTTAATGCTATTTAAGCATTTATGGGACAGTTAATTTTATTTTATTTAAAAGTGTGTGTCAGGTTTTTGAGATTTCAGTATTTCCCCATTCAAATAGATAGAAAAAGGCTTTCAAATATGGCCGCCAAATGAACTGACTTCCCTTGAAAGAGCCTTTGCTATGGCATTATGAAAACATTGCTCTGTTTGTTTGAACATCCCAAACAGTCCAACAACAGAACAGCAACATTGACTCAACCAATAGCATGATTTTGAGGTGGGGCTATCAGTGTGGATGACCAATAGCATGCCAGGAGAGCGTTTGGGGGAACCTGTTTGACAATTTAATAATGCAAGTGGCATATTTTAATTTTAATTTTTTTTTTAAAGTGCAGTACAGATCAGTTTAACATATTTTTACCACATAAAAATCCATTCTACAGATTTTCCCCTTAAAGGTCCCATATTGTCAAAACTGAAATTTCCTGGCTTTTTTCACGATATCTGAGGTCTAGGGGCTATTTAACTACCATATAAGTGTCAAAACAGTCAGTCCACAGTAAAATGCACACAGCCTGCATAAAGTAGCTGTGATTTTTCACGAACCGTTGTGAGTTCTGTAAAAAGTTGACGTCAGAACTACACAGTCACCGCCTTCAGTCACCACCCTGAGCACTAAAAATATATTGAGATGGTTTTTGGTACTTATACCGCAAATATATATTCTTAAGGACATCAAAACCTAAAATAAAACTCCAGAAAGGTGTACAATATGTGACCTTTAAGTGAGTGCTTTA